GAATCTCGAACCCTGTCATTCAGCCAAGTAATCTTAATCTGAAGTTCTAGAATTACAGTTCTAATATTCTAGTACTAATGTATTAGTGCCCTAGATAAGATCTCGAGGCAGCTGTAATAACAAAAGAGCTAGCTAGTAACCACTTGATTAAAAAACGAGGGATTGACACACATTATGATATAATGATGGGAAAATCTATGCGAACCAAACCACTGCGGTATTACTATTATGGTAAATGAGCTAAATTAAACTGCAACCAACAGATCTCAATCCAGCGATTACACACCAATATTGGTCGAGGCAGTGAAGTCAATTATAATTATTAAGTTGAGTACTGGTCAGCGGTCAAGCAACAATCTGGCCCGGATCCAGTGCCGAATTATTTTATGTCCGGTATTCTTAGAGTCTTAGTACATATCATGGTCTTCTGGAATGAATAAATTAAAAGTTGAATTTTGGTCATTACATTTTGGCTAAATTGGTGGCAATGAAAAATTGTTGGAGTTTTCACAAATCATGCAACTTAGTTAAACTTATTTAATAATCACTCATAAAGTGAACGTTTTTGAGTATATGATTATGATGTGCATGAGTCGGCAATTGCAAACAATTTGCTGTTAGCAACTGACCCTTTGACCTTTACTTTGACCTTTACTAAAGTAACCGTAATTTAAAAAAATTGCCCTTTCGTAAGACACAAGTATGCTGTTGGCCTGGCCCATTAAGAGAGATGCCCAATAAAGTAGATCATTCTCCAATTTTTGTAGGTGTTTCTGGACACAAAGTGAGTCATCTTACATCTTGTGACAAATGCTATGTTGCTCATGAGTCTTTAAGACCTTTCTAGGTAACAGTCCAATAGCCCATTTGTGAATACTGTCATTGTTGATGTTCGCTCGTATGAAATAATTTTGTAATGAATTTTTTTATGCCTTTTTTGTATCGCATTTTTTGGATAAAGTTGATTGATTAAAAGTAAATAATTGTACACTAATTTTGTCTCAGATCTACGTTTTTTACGTTTGGAATTTTTGATAAAATATTTTTAGATCATGAATACGATGTTGTAACATTGAAACGTCGAGTTATTCCTTTCCTGATTAGAGCATATTTCCTTGTCGCATCAAACAGGATCAATACAAATTTACACAAGAATGCAATCGTACACGTAATAGAGAAGGAGCTAGGAAGTGAACTGCTTTGCGATATGTTGTTATGTTTAAGTTTAACCTTCGTTCGTTTCTCACCAAAGAATGGGAATTTCTCCGCCTTTCAGGGTCCTTTATCATCATAACGGGTGTGTATAGCCTGATGGGGTTTATAACCCTGGTCTTTGCTGGTAAGATGAACCAGGCTCACTTGGCAGGGGTGGGACTAGCTATCACGCTCTTCAATCTTGCTGTAAATTCAGTTTCCTCCGGATACTCCTCTATATTTGACACATACGGGCCCCAGGTTCATGGCTCTGAGAGGAAGTCTGAGTTAGGGACTGTTCTCTTCAAATGTCTCCTTCAGGGCATCCTGGTCAACTTAATTATTGTGGGTCCATACCTGAACTTGGTGTTCATCGTAGACCTGTTACCTGACTCAGGGTTGTACTCGGACACACCTGATCTAAGTGATCCAGGAGAGGATTTTAGAGATATAGCAGTGGCTTATCTTAGGATGACTTTGGTGGTGGAGAATCTAGATTACACCCTGGTCATGATTTCTAAGTACTTTGCTATCCAGGGGTACGACAAGTTCGTGTATTTAGTCTCTGTTGTCATGGTTGGGTGTCATATCCTCTTTAACTACATTCTAGTGACGGTATTTCAGCTTGGTGTTGACGGGTTAAGCTTGGCTGCTATCTTAGGACGGCTGTTTCCGCTTTTAGTGTCGTTGACAGTTTGTTTCATCATGGTGAGGAGAGGGAAATTTTCTTGGAACGGGTTTTCTATTCGTGCCCTGTTAGGCTGGGGACCAATGGTTAAACTGGGCCTGGCTGGAGCTATCGAGTGTTTTGCAGAAGTTTTCCTAATTGAGATAGCAGTTTTCTTGAGTCAGTTCGACGGGGCGGATGCTTTATCTGTGGTAATCATAATGAATCAGCTAACATTCATTTGGTGGGCCGTAGCGTATGGTATGGCCCGAGCATCAGCTAATCTCATTGGGATGGCTTTGGGAGAGGGAGACGCAAATAAAACACGATACGTTATGAAACTATCTCTTCTGAACTCAATTTTAGTATCCACAACGCTTGCTATCATCTGCTATTCCTTGAGAATTGAAGAAGTTCTGATGTTTTCCTCCGATGGTGACGTTAAGGATTTATTCTTGGCAACGTTTTGGGTAGTTTGCCTGGGTATCCCCGTAAATAACGTGCAAGTATCTCTCAACCAAGGGATCCTCGTAGCTTTTGGTGCCCAGGAGTACACAGCATGGTCTATGAGTATAGTCTGTTATTTGATCGGACTACCAATAATTCTCATAACAATATTTCTATCAGACTTAAGGGTTTCTGGTATTTTCTTGGGGGTCATCGTAGTGGACGTTATTACGATAGTGACGGCTTCGCTAAAGATTTGGACGGTTGACATCGACAAAGAAATTACCAATTCTAAGGAGAGAGTGGATGGAAAGAAAGGAAATTCTCGTGCGCGTGATTCAGATTGCGTTGCTGGGACAGAAACGTCAGCCAATGGAATTTACGATAACCCAACCTGTTCTGTGAAGTATGATGCAAATGAAAAGACTGTTCAAACACAAGAGACTGCTACTAATAATGACGAGGCTAGTGATCCTAATGATGATATTTTTGGAGACATACTTGAGGAGGATCAGGGTAGAGATCCTAACGCTGATTTTAAGGAAATAAGAAACGTTTTACTAGCTTTTATTGCAGCTGTTATATTCTGTGTGAGTTTAGCTGGGATTTCCTTGATCAGACAATAAACTGGGCTTTGTTCAAATGGTTTGAATGTTAAACCTCGATTGCTGTTGGTGAATTTAGATATTTCGATAGGGACATCTTATATTCGAAAGTATATGATTATTGGAGGTGATTTGGTTCTGAATCTGTACGTCAAATCTATTGAGGTGTCATAACTTCCATTATTGTTATCGCCGATGTTTCAATTTTTCAATACAGATGACAAATGACAAACTGGCTAAATTTGAAATATGTGATCGTAGATACAACTTTTATTTGTGCACAGTTTATAGAGGAATTTTGAACCTAAAGACAATCAAATACAGTAAAACCCCGATTTACCTCGCCCCGATTTACCGCAAACCCCGATTTATCACGGCTGTTTCCTTTCTCCCAAAGGATTATCTCTCGTTGCCAAGAATAAATCCTTAACGTCACCATCGGAGGAAAACATCAGAACTTCTTCAGTTCTCAAGGAATAGCAGATGATAGCAAGCGTTGTGGATTCTAAAATTGAGTTCAGAAGAGATAGTTTCATAACGTATCGTGTTTTATTTGCGTCTCCCTCTCCCAAAGCCATCCCAATGAGATTAGCTGATGCTCGGGCCATACCATACGCTACGGCCCACCAAATGAATGTTAGCTGATTCATTATGATTACCACAGATAAAGCATCCGCCCCGTCGAACTGACTCAAGAAAACTGCTATCTCAATTAGGAAAACTTCTGCAAAACACTCGATAGCTCCAGCCAGGCCCAGTTTAACCATTGGTCCCCAGCCTAACAGGGCACGAATAGAAAACCCGTTCCAAGAAAATTTCCCTCTCCTCACCATGATGAAACAAACTGTCAACGACACTAAAAGCGGAAACAGCCGTCCTAAGATAGCAGCCAAGCTTAACCCGTCAACACCAAGCTGAAATACCGTCACTAGAATGTAGTTAAAGAGGATATGACACCCAACCATGACAACAGAGACTAAATACACGAACTTGTCGTACCCCTGGATAGCAAAGTACTTAGAAATCATGACCAGGGTGTAATCTAGATTCTCCACCACCAAAGTCATCCTAAGATAAGCCACTGCTATATCTCTAAAATCCTCTCCTGGATCACTTAGATCAGGTGTGTCCGAGTACAACCCTGAGTCAGGTAACAGGTCTACGATGAACACCAAGTTCAGGTATGGACCCGCAATAATTAAGTTGACCAAGATGAATACTGTCTGGTTCGCTCGGCAAAAATCCGTTTTTCAGCCACATTTCCGAAAATAAGCCTTTTAGGGTATATGTTGCTTCATAAGTTGTATATAAATGTGGCCATTATGTACATTTTAGTGCATCAGAATAGTCTCTACAACCTTCCTAGGCGGAAATGCCAAAAAATCACGGAAATTATGAACTGCGTCAAGCCAAAAACCGTTTTCGGCCATATTTCCGAAACGAAGCATTTTAAGGTATATGTTGCTTCGTAAGTTGTACATAAATGTGGCCATGAGGCACATTTTGGAGTATCGGAAGAGTCTTTAAGACCTTCCTGGACTGAAATACAAAAATTCGAGTGACCGCGAAACCCTGAAAAAGGGTGTGGCCGAAAACGCCCTCATTGCATTTATTTCAAAAATGCAATGAAGTCCAAATGTTTTAAGAATCATCTAGAGAGGTGATAACTGTTGAGAAATCGCTTTTAACACGAAAAGCTAACGAGATTCCGTTTCGTCCCAGACAAACAGATTACCCCAAGTTTGGAGAGTAAGTAGGTTAAACTGGGAATGCCCCTTCCCAGGGACCACATCACCCCTAATAAACCATTAAATATCATGGGAGACCATGCACAGCCTCGAATTATAGTACAATGACTTCGAATAAACCTTTTTTGTCTCTAAAAAAGGCTCAGAAAACTAGATTAATTTACCTCATTTTACCTCATTTTACCTCATCCCAATTTTGCCTTTTTTGGCTTCCCGAATGAGGTAAAATGAGGTTGACCCCCCCCCTACTTAACTTAAGTAAAGATCGTGAGATCACAATCTGAGTACGAGTTTATTTTTATGCCTGACCACCTGAATCAGAAGGGTACATACTCGAATGATAATAGGTAATTGGGTAAACTTAGTTAAGTATCAGAATGTATATTTTCGAAATTTATCATTTATAACTCGTACTGACATAATATATTCGTATAAACTCACTGAAATATTCTAATAAACTGCAAAAAAGTAAAACAAGATTTCAGTAAAACCCATTATAAATTAGCATGCCACTCCCTATGCACGGCGCTCTTTTCAAGATTTTGCACAGGCGAGCGAATCGAGCAATAGACTAGCAAGCTAGGCAAGTAAAACAACTATCTAGATAATGAACTATTGGTTGCAGGACTAAATGAGCATTGACCTTAAGCGATTCTTTTTTTAACGATTCAATTGGGTGGAGAATCGGGAAATCATATATTTAAACAAAAAGGGTTTACTGTGTACTGTGAAAACGTGCATTTCAGGTCAACCGGCATCAGACAACAAATTCAGAAGATTTATCATACTCTGAAAATTCAAACTTAAGCTCACCAAAATTCCCTAGAATATTAAACGTAACTGTATTTTCAGATGAACGAAATTCTATATCTTTGCTCTAATAAATTAACGAAGGTCTGAAAGTTCAAAGATTAAAATTTCAATTGCGGGATGTTCCTGTAGAGGTCGAGAGCTTCTGGGTTTCTGAGAGCGCCTGAGGATCCAACCTTTTCACCGCTCACGATCTTTTTTACTGCTACTTCAACCTGCAATTATGTTCTGTCAGAACTGGGCCCAATTAAAATAACCGAGCTATTGATATTTAATCAAAATTTTGAGGCTGCTAGGAACAAATAAAAATCTCGTTTACTTTTTTGCCGTTTATTGTATACGGAATATCAGTCGTTTCCAGTATAACCGCGGGGACATGTCTGGCTGTGAGTTTTGACCTGATCGTTACTTTTATCTCTTTCATCAGCTCCTCAGTAAACCTTGAAAAGGACTAATTAAAGTTTAATGTTTTAACTAGTATTTTGTATCGTAGTACGGTCAAATGAAGTAAGTCCTAAAGATTTAATACCCTCGCCGCGCCCATGGTTGAGAATTTCAATCGCAACAAATCACTGCCCCGTGCGATCTCGGATCTCCTGATTTCACTACACTACAATAGTATATTATTGAGGAGTCTCCCTGGCGTTTACACGCCGTTGATGGTCGTGCGATGATACCACGGCATGACAAACTTCACAGCTGAGGACTGGCATGTGCTAGCTACATATTGCGCGTTTAAAACCGCTGAATATAGTACGCTACTATGCATTAAAAGTGTACGGAGATCGCGCGTTGCAGTTAAAAATTATGGAATTTAAAATCGATTAAACTGTCGTATCAGACGATCGATTGAGACTTTTATATTAGCGAAGTTAAACAAGAATTTCGCCGCGGTAACACCACGCACGATCAAATTTCCCTACTGCCTACAATGTAATTGTTCTACTTTATTGTATCCCAGAGTGGTGTTTGGCGCACGTGATAATCGTTTTCATTATATTAGGCGGTAGGGTGAGAATCCCTGCCACGTTTTTGGTCAGTTTCGCCGGGGCTCATGTCTTTCCTCGAGGGAGCATTAGTGTCTACAGAAAAACTGACAAATCCTAGCGAAGTCCAATCCGAACCACATCTTCCATTAGAGGTGGTGCTGGGTCAGCTGGTTACAGAACGGATTGGCCTGGAGAATGGCACAGTCCTGTTACTCTCAAGTTAACCATAGAGGGGGACAGGCGCTGTTCGCTCACGGCTGGTTCTTGGAGCCAACACCCTCAGCCCCACAGAAGTGGGAGCACTGTCGGTGGTGGCTCACCCAGATAACGGACAGTGTCTCTCCTTTTTTCTTCTTGGACTTGCATTGTTGCTGGCGAGTCAGCCAGTAGCAATGCAGCATCTCACTCACTCAATCACCTTAGCAGTTCGGTCCCTTTTCTGTTTGATTACTAGTCTCACCTGGTTCTTGACCTGTCGCCCTCAGACCTACAGAGGTGGGTGCACTGTCGGTGGCCTGTCACCCAGGTTGTCGGTGATATCTCTCCCTCTGCCTCCCCTTTGGACATGCATTGTTGCTGGTGAGTCAGCTGGCAGCAGTGTACCATACTACTGCGTGTTTACTAATCCCCTCTTAGCTTCCAGGCTAAACTAAAATTATAAACTAACAGAAGCAGGATAGAAGCAAGAAATCATCAGTAGCCCCTCAACTTAACAAAGACTGATATCAACCGCTCTGGTACAAGCAACTCTGATAAAGTACGACTCTGCTGCTTCTCTGGGAAGTCAGCACCAACAGAAATGGGGAAACTCTCTGATATGAGTGCTGGAATTCTCCGCCGTTTTACTCTACAGGCTAAGTTTCTTGTTATAATTCTATTGTTCTGTTCTTTCATTTGTATTCTGTCTCACTCTACTGCATATTGTAGATCGTCAGCATTCATAGAACCAGGGTCTCAGTTACAGTCCTTCTGTTTGTTGACTAGACACACTTTTTGCATCATCTTTCGGTTTTTGACGGCGTTTAGAACACATCTTGTTTTCTCGATCGTTACTTGCCTCCGTATTGGCTGCTAAACTATTATTATAAACTAACTTTCGTTCCACCCCCTTGTGTGTATACTAACAACCCTAGATTCCCAGGAACAGGCTTAAATATCTACGAAAATCAAAGCCAAACAGACAGACAGCTACTCAGCCACAATGCAGGACAACAGATACTGCTCTGAACCAAGGATAAGTCTGATTGATACAGCTCATGTCTCCCTAGACATTCGCACAGATTACAAGAATGCCAACATCAGACATCATGTCTCTTATTAAGACAAAGCTCAACTCTATCCAAGTTCCTGAAATCAGAGTTGTCTAACTGAGATTTGCAGTCAGACATGCATTATACCCCCCTCGACCAACCCATCTACTAATCCGTGTCTACAGGCAAGAAATTGATCTCGTCATTTGTAATATAACATGAAATATTATATACCTATTGAAATTCTCATCCTCCACATCATACAAAAGAGAACGGCCCATGGCCATACACCACATATCAAAGAGAAAGGCCTCCGGCCAGACATATCAGACCTAACATGATCTATTTTCCTTAAAAGCCCATGTTTATATAAAGTTTTAGCGTGTAAAATTGATTCACTTTACTTACTTGTTTATAAATTTTACCTCGAACCATGCTTTCACAGAATTAAAATATTACCACACGACAGGGCGACAGTTTTTCAAAACTGGTTACATTCTTCCCTCAAGGCGCAGCTCCTACACCTGGTAAATTCCACTCTAATAGCACAACCTCTCAAACAGACTCACCGAAGTAATCTTCAGCCATCAAATGCACCGCTGTCAAACCTGATCATGTTACAAGGCATGACTTTTCTGCCACTACTTCATCATTATAGATTAGTGATTACTTAGTGTGTAGATGAAACGATATGAGTGTAGCACACACTGGCTTATCAATGAATGATTGATTCATCCAATCAGCGTTATCTTGGTTCGAATTGAGATTGCTATATTAAATTTTTCCTATATTTTACGTAACGCGCGAACGCCATTTGAGCACAGTATGTGCTAATGATCTCGCTGTCAATCCTTTAATACGTTTTGCGCGCTGCGCTAGCTACTCTGGTAGCGCGCATGGCGTGTAATTTTATTATCTATTGTTTCAACTTTTTATTCAGTTTTATTCATTTAAACGATGTTATTCATTTAAACGATGTTATTCATTTAAACGATGTTAATCATTTGAAACGACTTTACTAGAATTTGTCAACGAAGAAGAACTCTAAATTGTTACCACAGCAACCATTCAATGTTGCCATAGAAACTACACACTCTTAACATAGCAACCACACACGGTTACCGTAGCAACTCCAAATCACTACCTAGCAACTAAACACTGCTACCATAGTAACTACGTACTGATACTATAGCAACTACACACTGTTACCATAGCAACTACACACTGTTACCATGGCTACTACACACTGTTACCATAGCAACTACACACTGTTACCATAGCAACTACACACTGTTACCATAGTAACCACACACCGTTACCAGGAACGAGAGCGAGGGTCGACAAGGGGCTATTGCGATGCAATCTGGACAAGAGTCCAGGCTGGCTCCCTTAGTTCCAACCTCTCGGTACTGGAAACGATACATTTTCTAATCCTCATCACCCATCTCCAAGTTGCAGTCATACAATAAAATTACAATCTCATCGTACTCACATCTTGAGTTAAGCGCAAAGCGTCACTATGGGACCTTCGCGATGCGAACCAGACACATAGTCTGGACTGGTACCTCAGACGCTAACGTGAAACTTACAGAGTATATAGGATATAACAACTTACTCGGGCGTAAGGAGTCGATACGGAGCTATTGCGATGCAATCCAGGCAAGTGTCTGGACTGGCTCCTAAAACTCCAAACGCTCGGGCGAGCGGCATGGCAACTCTGATTCTTTACAAATAATTATCTTGCCAAACATACAGTACGCAAAACGAACGCAGATTTCAATTCTTATATAGCGAAATAGCCGAAGTGCGCGGAGGCCGGGGAGAGGGGCTAGCTCCGGCGCGCGGGCCGGGATAGCACCCCAACATGGCAACGCGCAGCAGAGTAGTGGGGTCGGCCACACTACCGAATACACGAAAAGCCAACCCGGGATTTATTACCCGCACGGCTATATTATTATGCGCAGTTGAAACCTGGGGGCTCGCCGACCAGGTTCACCGGGTGGAAACTGAAGGCATATATGACCCCCATATCTGAAAGCAGGTTGGGGGCACTACGGAAAGCTTAGAAGCTCCCGTCACCTACTAACTACTAACTACTTATATTAGGCGTGCAGAATTGAACTTGAAAATTCTGCGCGCATCTTATCTGAGTTGTCACCGTCGATCTGTAAGTGGGTGGGTTGTAGATCATTTCATATTTTGCGCGGTTTGTTTCGTGTTTACGTATCATGTCACGTCATATTATTACATCGTATGCCAACTTTATTGACTGTAATAAAATATTCTGTCTCATCTTAGTTATTATTTGTATCTAACATAAACTAATGCATTTTGATGCTTACTCGACACATCTACAGCACCATCGACTATATAGGATTCTTTAAAAGCATACCGCAATATTTATCTTAGTCGCATCAGCTCCAGTTACTTCAGAATGCTGCTGCAAACGCTGTCACTGGTAAATATAAACATGACCATCTTGCGCGCGTGTACTGCGTGACGCGCGAAACAAGCGCGTCACGCAGTACGTGAGTGGCTAGATTGTAGATTGTTTTATTATAATATTATTTGATTATGTTATTTTGTTGTTATGTCGTGTAAGTTTGTGGAGTAGTAGCAAGAAGGTATCGTATACATTTAAATTTGTTCTCTTGATTATTTATTAATGATTTTATGTAGGGTCGGCACCAATGTTATTATGGTCTTACCACCGTGTTTTGGTTCAGCCGAAATAAATTTTACGTTGATGTTTTTACAATTTGTTTCTCACTCCAGCTGAGTCTGGTAGTGTTGAGTATCATGAATATTTTTCTAGCTCTCTTTTTCCATGTTTTTGCTTCACAGGAGATATTGTGGTCTTTTTATTGAATATAACTGTAATACATTGATGTAAAGTTTATTTGAATTTTGAAATAAAAAAAAAATGATGACCTGATAAAGCTTCACTGGTTAGATGTAAAGAAAAGGATTGTCTTCAAAATCTTATTACTATCTCACAAGTCACTGTTAGGATTGGCACCAACTTATCTGCAGGACATGTTCAAGTATGCTCATCATGGTCACTCATTGAAGCTTATTGTTCCTCTTGTAATTCAAAGTTTGGTGAGCGTAGCTTCTCTGTAATGGCTCCAAAGATCTACAATCGTCTGCCTGTTACCATCACCTCAGCTCAATCTTTGGAATCTTTTAAAGCTTTTCTAAAAACTTACCTTTTCAAACTGTCTCCAGATGAACTTGAAAAACTTTATCGATGACTTTTGTGGTCATATTTGGAATTCGATCTTTGCATAATATATTTAAGTACCATTTTCGGGCTTTAGTATTGACGATACATTTTCAAGCATATGTTATCTTTTAGCTCAGTATTCATGATATTTTCTGGGATGACTAGTTCAAACACTGCTGAGTATAAGTTGTATCTTAAAAGCGGTGTTATTAAATTTCAATTTATTATTATTATTCTTGAATGTAAATGTAAAGTAACATCTGTTCTTAAATCTTTAAATATGTAATCGCTTTTTACCATTCAGTGTCGATCAACTGTTAAATAATCGGCCACGAGTTTATCAGCTGATATCATAATTTAATTGGTTTTGACTTGCTGAATTTTATCACTCGGTAATTCATTAAGCTTGTTTCAACAAAATAACACTTATATTTATTTATTTATTTATTTTTATTTATGATTGATCCGCTCAGATGACTAATATGCTATATTAATGAATTAGAGTAAATTGTAACCCGATGGAAACCTGTGTAACAGTCGTCAAGCACCTAAAACTGGTTGCTATGCCTGTAATTAATTAACACATAACTGGTGTCGCGCGCGCAAAATAGGTTCCTTTTGTACATATAATTATAGGGGAGTGGTCTATATTGCGAAGGAGCAGACTTTTGTCGTCATCGTAGGTCAATCGGGCCACCTCATATATCCAAACCCGATTACTTATTCCCTACGATCTTTTTGCCTTCGGCAAGAGTAGGGAAAAATGCATCTGCAATACTGTTCCGGGGAGACAAAAACAGGCAATAATAGAAATCAACATACTTCTGGCCATCTGCCATCTTCACAAACAGCACGACCCTCTCGTCATCCTTGAGTTTTTGTCCCACACAAAGACTGTCTGTAACCTTGTTGGAAAATGAGTCCATGACGTTGTAGATCTCTGCGCTCCCAAATCTGGGTGAAACAGAACTTGTGAAAATATCGTACACCATTTCTATCTAAGGATCGTTAAAATATTACGTAATTTAAGCCAGAGTGTTACTGGTTTAGACCCCCGCCTTCCCTCCGTAAACTTTACGCATAAATTGAACTAGCTTTTCCAAACCCCTTCCTCCTGTGTTAGCTTACGTAATATGTGAACGATCGCTAATGGAGTTGAGAGTTATGAATTTATATAATAAATATAGACGACAAATTTCTAAAGATCCTTAACCTCATAGAATAGTGAATTAAACACGTAAATTTAGCGCTTTTATCAAACACACATTATATATTCCGACTCGGTGATATCCCAGAAAACCTAGCTATATTGCGGGCAGAACTCCAGAACCCTGACCAGTCCACGCGGAATTCCGTGTGAACCCTAACCTAATTGCTGATCTTTAATAGTGAACTAAAATTAAGCTGGCCTCTGAGATCGAAATGAACTCTGACTACTACCACTACCACACTGACTACTACCACACTATACATTAAATAAAAACATTTAAATAAGTTTCACCTGACACCACCAGGATTGAGAGTACCATCAGATCTGCCGTTCATAATCAGTCCTCCTGTTACACTGTCAATTGTAACGAAGTCCCCGTGTGACCAAACACCTGATCATGGTAACATTTTAATAAAATTAAATCTCATTTAACTGACTTCATAAGGTGATGTTAATTTGATATATTGATAGTTCATTGTTCATAATAGTTTATATATTGTAGCACAGCAGCTATTTCGCATTGAAGATTTATAATAATAGACGTATGGGAGTCACTGCACTCATTCAATTTGTGTTCATTAGTCTCAGGAAATCCAATGAGAATTTAAAAATCGAACACCTAAAACAATTAAATATACACATGAAACAACACACACCGTCATATTTGTCAAAGTAAGCTTTTCTGTACTTGGCTCCGTCCGGGTCATTACCGAAGTAGATTGGCATGGAAGGGAAGGGTTTAACACACACTAGCTCCCCATCTGTATCATACACTTCCTTACCTGGAATAGTAGGCTTGTTATATTCATAACATTTACTTACAAATTTACTCATTGTACTTGTTGTGAGGTGTGATAGCGAAATAAAGAGATGTGAAAATTTTAATACTATTTTTAAATTCCTTCAATTTTGATCTTTTTACCCAAATAATCTTTTCTTTATTTATGATCATAATCATGTCTTCATGACGTAATAAAACGAGCTAACATTTAATTAACAACCTGAAATTAGCATGGGGGGGATGCAACGTCAATTAATGTCAGTATTCCATAAAAACCCCAAACTGACATTGACATTAATTGACATTAATTGACATTAATTGACATTAATTGACATTAATTGACATTAATTGACATTAATTGACATTAATTGACATTAATTGACATTAATTGACATTAATTGACATTAATTTGTCTTGAAATTTGAGATTATCATTATTCGATAGATATTCAAGATATTCACGTCTATGTAAGTTAGACCGGTTCAAAAAAACAAAATGTCCTTGAATAATTATGAGTATGTTCTTATCTGTTGATCCTTAGGTTCAAAGACCACCAAAAAAAATTTCAGCTTCAAACTCTTCCATCTTCGGTCCCCACCGGCCACGCCCATATTTTATTAGATTCGTTATTCAAATATAAATGTCATGAAGGCATTTCGTTTAATGTGGGTTTTAAGTTCTGATGATGTTGAGAACCACGCCCTTGGATGGCCACGCCCATTTAAGAAAATTAAATTTCGGAAAACCGTATTATTTTAGTTTTATTGTTTAATGATCTGAATTTTTTTCACGTTTCCATATGTGATAGTAGTGAATAAATTGATGATATAAACGTTCTAAAGTGCTAAAAATATGGTAGAACTACATAATCTCTGGTCGAAAAATATCGTGTCAATTAATGTCAGTATTCCAAAATTTTGCAAAACTGACATTGTTTCGGCAGTATCGAGATAGCCCGACCACGGTCCGCGGACCACTGTCCGCGGACCACTGTCTGCGGACCACTGTCTACCAGATCATATTACTGTATAATAACAGTATCCCCTGAATCAAGCAACAGGTGTTTGTGAATAGTTGATTGGTTACCAGATCATATGAATGGTATGTATGGTATCTTGGATGCAATTAGTTACGACTAGCATAATTAATTGTAGCGTAGTAAATTACTGGATCAAACTATTGATTACGATTCAAATGTGGTCTCTCGGATATAATTAGTTACGAATAATATTGATTGCTCAATGAAATAAATGATTACGATTAAAATGTGGTATATAAGTCGTTCGTTTTTGGTGAAGTATTATCAGTTGCCATCATCAACAACAACAACTGTTCCAATTCCTGACATGGTACTCTTCTGTCTAATGGACGAAATTAATGGACCCACCGCCTCCCTAGAGAATGCTCGAGACTTCCTATTCCAGAAAAACCTCCTAAAGAGCTCCATGTTCTGTCCTGGGTGTAATGCATCTATGTCCCTGGTTCCCTGCTCGTCCTCGAAGTCTATTCTTTATATATTGCATGATGTGAACTGATCTCGTAAGGTTGCTTAATCGTTTAATAAGCCTTGACACCGGCGCTGATTGGAATTCGCGTGCGATGATGTGAACCCTGCTTGACTCAGGGGATGATGTGAACCCTGCTTGATTCAGGGGATACTGTTATTATACAGTAATATGACAGTGGTCCGCGGACCGTGGTCGGGCTATCTCGATACTGCCCATTAATTGACATTAATTGACATTAATTGACATTAATTGACATTAATTGACATTAATTGACATTAATTGACGTTGCATCCCCCCCATTAGAATACATAATTGTATATTACCCAATATTCTTACAGTTAACCAAAGTAAAGTGATAGATAACGCTAATGACTCGGCAAAAAATAAATATATTACACCGTTTTAATAAAGTTAATACCAGTCAATTATCTATACCGAGCCTTGATTTGCCGGGCATGTTTCCTTCCCTGGTTTCAACCTTAAACTAACGTAAATCGTAAAATTACTGTGTATTTTACCTTCTTTAGTGAGTGTTTGACATTATTATTATTATAGGTACATTCAAATTATAACACTATTCAGTTCTTCACTGAGTCCAAAATCAAGTCCGAATTGTAAACAGGATAGAATGTCCTGGATACTTGTTATTATGACGGCCCCACTGGAGATTAGAGATGGTCTGAGTTCTGAGAATCTGAAGAACAGTGTCACTTGGTCCGCTTTTTACACAAACTGTTTTAACATGATAATTGTGAGCAGCTTAGTCCTAATTCAGCTGTTAGTTCACTGCTGGTGCAGTGGGCCTGACTGCTCTCCTTATCATCACCATCACATTTCCTCTCAGCTCCCTATTTCTAGCTAATATGATGAGCGGAGTCAGAAGTGCGTTCAAGAGTGGTAGTGTTGTGCTTATCATTATAATACAAACCATCAAGGCAAAGTTATCGACACTTCCAATGAAAGAGGAACTTTGAAAGTAAAGCTGAAGAACTGCGATTCCTGAGTTACAAACCAAGAAAGCAGCAGAAAGGATCGAGACTGTGGTGTTCACATGTGACCAGTCAGTGAGCTGTGGGTGATCAGGGTCACGTGCACGAGCTCTGAGCCGGGTCACTAAAAACTGTATCACAAGGCAAACCAGAACAACACAAATCGGAACTAGATACAGCAATCCTACTAGTAAATCTGGAATCATCCAGTAAACCTTGATTGGTATCAACAAGTCTAAAGCGGTAAGCCAAATGGACATATTATGACCAACAAAAGAAATGGCAACATTAATCCAGAGGAACACCCAAGGGTGAGGGTCAGAGTCGGGGCCTTCGTAGATTTCATACCAGACATCCACTACAGTCAATGAAACTAGGAAAGTGATGACAAGAGTAATTGCTATCTTCAGAGCTGTTGTGTTGACCTGGTGGAAAGGGAAGGATACTTTTATCGTTCTCAAAACAGCGAGCACCATGTTGAAGTTAACAGATGAGGCGTAGCCGAGCAGCGACAGTACAGTGTGCATCACCACACACACGGTAGTAGAGCTAGAAGGAATAAAGTCACGTGACATCAGTAGAACACATATCATGAGGATCAGGTGACCAACACACGTGATCAAATCAGCTGCTGTTATCATGATAAATAGTGTGTTGGTGAGGGTACCACGGTTTCTCCAGTAGTAGGATAGGACTATGATACAAACAGCTAACACTAGGATACACAAAGGAATGTTGAAGGGGACCACGAACATAAAGACACTCTCGTGATTATCATTAAGATCTGCCATCTGAGCTGAAGAGTGGATCAAAAGGACTTATCTGCCATCTGACTTATTTTTATAAATCAAGCGTTACATTTCAGCCATGTGCAAAATTACAATGACATATTTTGATAAACTAATTGATAATTGGTACTGCAATATAAGTTGCTTAATGTGTGGCCGAATGACAACTAACTAAACAAGAAAAATAAACTTGATTATATAATAATTAATTCGGCTGAACCAACACATAGCAAGAGGCACATTAACGTTGGGGCCGTGAAAAGATAGGACTATAGAGGATCAACAAAATATATCAGAAAAACATATTATGCCATAATATTTCTCAGTCTGAAAATACCAATAAATACACTATATCATCAACTCAATTCAAAATTTCACTGCGCGAATTTTTCAATAATTTTTAGAAAAGTTGTTCCGGTTTTCATCCCAGTTTTACATCTCACAATTCAACAAGGAAGTGAAGGATCATGTATAGAGTTTAACATCAAAAAGTTATGTTAGTAGAAGATCACTGATTGGGGGGGGGGGGGGGGGGGAGACTAATATACATAGTTATATAATATTGCGGAGTGTAAATAATAAATATATGTGATAAGTTTTAAGAATTTTATCTCTCGAAACACGGCAACATAACCACAATTAACAGTAAAAATAAAAGAGAGTAACGTACCGTTGTCATCGTAAGCATAGACAGCCATTCCGAGGTTCCTATACTGTAGTTGACCCCTGTGAACGGGCACCTCGGCTACCGAACCAGAGAAACAGGATATAATGTCTGTACCACCTGAATAGTAATACAATATAAAGCATGATTAGATGATGAATAGTTTGATTTGTTATGGTTATATCACTTTATTTATGGTTGGTTATATATGACCTTATTTATTTGTACATGTTGATGAATGATAACTAAAGTATTGAGAGGTTATGCCTAAAAAGCTGGTTAAATCATAACTTGAAAAGATTGTTAAGTTGTTAATTAAGTAAATTTGCTCTAATTGAGGGCACAGTGCAGCTTATTCATATTTAACATCATCACTATCATGGCTTAAGCTATTTTAAAATACAGAATAAAAACATAGCCGTTTAGTAAGTAAGTAGGTTATCAAAACACAAAGTCTGGAAGAGTTACAGAGTACAGAATATTCTATAGAGTCGGGAAGAGGAAATCAGTAACATTACCAGCAATGGAAGCAAGTTGTATGTGCTGTTTGATGTTGTTGTAAACGTAGTCGTATTGGCGAGGAGCCAGTGGAGCTCCTGTTGACAACATTGCCCGGAGCGAACTGAGATCGTGTGTGGCTCCTGCACCATGGGTGTTAGTTATAACAACAATTATAACTTGAATTAAATTAAATCTTGAATTTTTCAATTCAGCCAGACGTTCTACTGTCACACTTAATCCAGAATTACAGAGAATGAGATTTACTTGCTGCACTTGCACATTAGATTGATAGGACTGAATGCATGGTTTCATAACCATGCCAGCTGGAAACTTCTTTCTTTTTTATGAAACTACTAACTTGGACACATGGTCTTCTCCTCACAAGCTTGGAGCCATTTTGGACTGGTTCCGAATATAGAGATCTTGAGCTGATCAGTAAGATCCCAGAGATGTGTACAAGTTGGAAGAAAGGGTGAACCGTCATACAGCACTATAGCGCATCCTGGAGTGGGTCACATGTTAGGAATTATGTAATAGGATGTTGTACTGTACTGTATTTAAATAAACATACGATACAATAACAAATCACAGGTACAATAAGTGTACACGATAAAATGTATTGGAGCATTTCACACATTAGTATGTGTACTGAACGTGTCCTTCACAAATTACACGTGCCCTTCACAAATTACGTGTACTGCACGTGCACCGCGCGCATTGCACGTGTAAGATACCTGCAGCAAGTCCACTGATCAGCCAGTTCCACATCATCCACCCTGTTGTGGTGTAGTAAAAGAGAACATCGTCTCTGTTCAAGTCACTTTGTAGCACCAGCTCTTTTAAGTGCTGGATCAGTGTACCCTGGAATAAAGATATTTTACATTTTAGATAATGTCGTTTTGGGATACCCTGTATCTTACAAAACAAATGATGGACAGATTCGAGATTTTGGCCGCATCCATTGTCACAAGATTAATTTAAACACTGCTGCGACTTGTATTTTCACACGCATGTCATAATATTCCGTGTTTAAAGTCGGGCATACTTCAAATTGCGTACTATTGTGAATCAAGCTCATCTAGTCAAGAATTGTATGTAAACAATACCTACGCAGTACACATAAAGCATAGACATTATTAGCATATCATGTGGCACTCCAGTATATGTGGTTATTCTCACAAGGAGCCAGCTATTTTGTACGAGTATAGTACAGTCTGTATCAGATAATTTCAATGAGGAAGGGCTGCCCACGCGGCTTTCCCACACACTCACCCTACACACCTGTTTATGTATTATATTGTATGTGTGCTTAGTCTAACACGCGTGGGAGTAGGAGTGTTTTTAGTTAAGTAGTTAAGAGAGTATTCAGGTTTAGAGTTTCACAGGCATTTGCAATAACTATAAGGGGCCTGACTTCCACGGGGGCCTGACTTCCATAGCATTAAATATGCAGCCTAGCTCCAGAGTTTGCGCCCACTTATACACACTAGTGCAAGTGACTAGCCCGCAATTACAAATACCACCCAAGTTGATCTGTCAATGAAAGCTATCTACACAACATGATAATCTAGGTAACTTGTAAATACACAACAAGGATTATGGAGCTCTAACCTACTAGGTACCTATCATAATGGATTATGGAGCTCTAACCTACTAAATATCTATTTAATGGAGTGTGGAGCTCTAACCTACTAGGTACCTATTATTACCCTGAACTTACCCCTGTGCTGTGAACCATGCATTTAGGAGGTCCAGTAGTCCCACTGCTGAACATAAGGTACATGGGGTGGTTGAAGGGAAGCTGCTCAAATGAGATGTTATCAATCTCACTGAATCCGGAGAGGAAGTCAGATAGCAGGCAACTTCTAGGGATCTCTGATAGGTCTACCTGGGGGAGAGGTAGAGGTTTAAATAGGGGTGGAGGAAAATGTGTTGCGAAAGAATGTGCCGCACAAGAACATTGTACCGTTATATTAATCAGTATTGTAGTGTGTTACTCTTAATGATTATTTGTGAATTACCTTTTCTGACGAGTTTGGTTGCACGACGACGTAGTTGCAATTTGGCAACGCTGAAATTAAATTTTAGTCCATTCCGTGATTCATTGCGAAATTAAGCATAACCTTGAGTAAGGCCATGTTCATAGTGATGACAACAGCAGATATAGATAATATCATAATATTATCTCGATATCATTAGATTTAAAAACATGAGTAGCACAGAACTCATTAAATGAGTGGTTTTTGGGTTGTTTTCTAATTCTTACCATTAACAATCTTCTTTAACTTCTCCAACTGATCGTGTCTTTTACCATTGTACATAACTGCGTCAACAGCAAACAGTATCTTCGGGTTAACCTGACTGAACCTTCCGACCACGCCCTAAAAAAGTAGAATTTACTGGAACATCCCAACAATTTGTCAACATTATTAAATTACATTAAAACATAATATGTTACCTTACTTGGTATTAAAAGATGTTTTACAAAAACTACCAACGAGTCCGAGATGTTGAGAAGGGACTGCAGGTTATCAACTAATCTAAACGGTCAAACACTCAACTTACTGTTACTCCAAAGTCCGGGGAGGTTGAACTCCAAATAGCTCCGATAGATGAAGCAGCTAACATTGCCTCCACTGCTAACTCGTCGTTTGGCAAGTAGCCTGCAGAGTTAGGGAGTAGAGTTAACTAATTGCTACCTACTCTGAGCGGTACCGCGACAATTGACCCCCCGACAATTGACCCCCCGACAATTGACCCCTATGTAATTACACTGGGGTCAATTGTCGCGAAATCTAGGGTTTAGTACGACAATTGACCCCCATGAATTACACTGGGGTCAATTGATCGGGTTAGGGTCAGGATCCTGGGTCAGGGTTAGGGTTAGGGTCCTGGGTCAGGGTAAGGGTCCTGGGTCAGGGTTAGGGTTAGGGTTAGGGTCAGGGTCAGGGTCAGGGTCAGGGTCAGGGTCAGGGTCAGGGTCAGGGTCAGGGTCAGGGTCAGGGTCAGGGTCAATTGTATTAAATTATATTGTCGGGGGGTCAATTGTCGGGGGGTTAATTGTCGGGGGGTCAATTGTCGGGGGGTCAATTGTCGGGGGGGGTCAATTGTCGCCCACCCCTCTGAGCAATCAGCCGCCCTATTTAAGTATTTATAATTAATTTGAGATACAATTTAAAGCCAGTAGGAATTGTTTGGTAAAGGCTGGTTTTTACAAACTCGTATTATTTATAACCTGCAATGCAATCTCCTTTTTTGATGCCAGCTCGTTTGAAAGCAGCAGCTAGAACCGCTGTTCTCCTGTAGAGCTCTGCATATGTCACACGGTGTGGCTGTTTTGCTTCTCCTGAGGGACAATAATGTTCACAATCGGATATGAACATATTAAGAGGTTTAAGTGACCAGTGACCACAATTTATGACTATTTGGGTAACTCAATTTTGTAATAGTCAGATTCATAAGTTTTGTACCAAGGTCCAAGAGCTATTAATAGAGTTGTGAAAATGATGAAAAATGGATAAATTTAAACTGCAAACCAGTGCAAATAAGTGCTGTTTTGTTGTCCCTGAACTTGAGCAGGTTCTCTGCAAAGTTCATCCGACAGCCTCTGAACCACTCTGGAACATTGGCCATCTTCACTGATTTGTCGACAACCTGTGGTATGGTACAAATAACACTTACTGCATTTTAAAAACAATCTACAATTGTACAGCTGAAGCAATATCACCAAAGCCAGGAAACTTGAAAGATCTTACAATTTGAAGTAAATCGTAGAATAAAATTCTATTGTTGATAATTTGATTAATATCCAGATTGTGTACTGAGTACTGACCTGATCATAGAGTTTTGAACATTTGATCCCACCAAAGTGAAAGACCTGCTCCCAAAACAAGTCGTAGTTGTCAATAGACCATTGGTAAAGTTCTGGGTAGTTTCCTGAAAGATAATGACTATAATATAAGAAACATTTTACCAGATTTCTAGAATAATCCCATAAAACCATTCAGCATTCAACCTAAGTATGAAGAAAGAAATGTGAGAAATATGGAACCCTTGATCAGATATTTTCTAGAACATTGCAATTTATTCCAATAAAATCATTCAGAATTCAACATATTAGTAATATGAGAGGTGTGAATGCATAACTGGTGTGAAATCAAGCTGGAATAAGATTATAGAGTTAATGTTATTTGCAGTGAGAGTATTTTTTGCAAATTAAATAAAAATCTGATATCTTTTATCAAATGTGTTTAAAATGTTTTAACATTTGCAACCAACGACTTACTGAGAGAAAGGCCATATTTCCGATTTACTATATCACGAAATAGCTGTGTATTACATTTCCCTTCAATCTTCCTCTTCCACAATACTTTACGCTCGATTGATGACATTTCTTAAAAAGCAAAGGAGTTACAATCTGACCATGTCTAAAATATGATTTTACCTGTATTCAATCCCAAGTACTCATTGCGTGGCTTCTGGAAATATAATTTCCAGTATGTTATCAGCCATACATGATACAGAATCAGTGTTTAAAACCTACATGAAATGAAATACAATTTTGCAAAATATTAAAAAAATCTAGGCCCTAGGAGATTTAGATCTCTTCAGTAGAAAAGACTTAAGATTAAATAATCTACATAAGCCCTAACCCTTAATACCTGAAATTTAACCCTAACCAAAATCCTAACACTTCTGAACACTATCAATTTTAAATTGTCTATATTCTTCAAAGGACCACTGCACCGACCACTACTAGCTATCATCAAGACTAACATCAAAAATTACTTCCCTCCCTAGCTTATTTTCGATAAAAATCTACAAGTCTAATGCCAAATGTATTATTCTTGAGCAACAGTCAACTGAATGTGTAAACGGAGACTGGCCTGCTTTTCTGCTGAACAATACATGGTAACTAATCTATATTATATCTCAAATTCTACATCCGGTACAGCTCTGCACACATGATATCTCTCTCTGCCATGAAACATAAGAGATTTGGTTGGGGAGGCGGGTTATCGTTGTGAAGTACTGTACTACTCACGAAGTACTGTACACGATGTTTTCAACCCACGAGTCAGAGAGCAAGCTCAACTGACGGCTCCCAGATGGCGTATGCACATGTAGGTGAATCGGTCTGATCAAGTATAGTTGGTTGGGCTGTGATTGTATCGACCATGAGTACAAGCAAGCAGATATTTGAATTGACTAGATTTCCACTGGTAAGCGATTCGGAAAATCATGGGCCGGCATAGTGCCGGGGCGGGTATGATCCGCCAACCTCCGAGTTACATGCCTAGTCAATTCAAATATCTGCTTGCTTGTACTCATGGTCGATGCCATGAAACATGGCTAACCTTTAAACTATGATTTAAAACCTAAACCTAAACTAAAACTCAACTGGGCCCTCCTGTGTCACCAAACTAGACCAATAAGCAATTTTAGATTATTATATTTTTCTATATTTGTATAATAAGTATATTGACGTAGTGGACGGTTGAGGGGGTTTCAAGCACAGGTCACTCTCAAATCCTAAAGATAAGCAGTGGCCTTCGGCACTTGAAACCTCTTCAAACCTCCCCTGATTTATTTATTATATTTTATTTATAGCTATATTTTATATATAACTAGCACTCAGCTGGTTACAATGTTACCTTAATAATCGCACATTCAAGGTTAAAGTTAAAAAAGCCACATCTAACATCTTCTGAATGCTATCTGGATATTGGTGTACCTCAAGGATCCATTTTAGGACCACTACTGTTCATATTGTATACCAGAGATCTTGAAGAAATTGTCACAAAATATGGTTTCTCGATACATTTGTATGCAGATGACACACAGGTGTACTTTACTTTTCATGTTCACAGTTCTAATCCTGATTTAACAGCTGTGAAAAATTGCTTTCTGGAGATAAAGCAATGGATGACAGTTAACTTCCTAAAACTGAATGATGAAAAAACAGAGTTCATTGATATAGGACCATATGTCAGCCCAATCCAGACAATGGATTTAGGAGACCTCTCAATCTGTCCTGTTAGTAAGGCCAAGAACCTGGGATTCCTTTTCGATCACCAAATGAATCTGGACTCTCAAATAAATGCTGTCTCCAAAGTATGTTATTTGAATCAAAGGGACTTATCAAGAATCGGTTCGAAGCTTTCCCATGACCTAAAAGTTCAGTTAGTTCACTCCAATATTCTCTGTTTCATATACTACTGCAACTCAGTCTATTATGGTATAACAGAAAAGAATCTCCATAAGCTACAAAAGATACAGAACAATGCTGCTAGATTTATCTTTCTAGGTCTTTACGGAAAAAAGATACGTGAACCTATCATGCCTTACCTCAAAAAGCTCCACTTTCTACCTGTTCGGTTCAGAATCAAGTTCAAAATATCACTTCTGGTCTTCAAGTGTCTTAATAACATAGCCCCTCAGTACTTACAAGGACAGTGTCCTTGTAAGTACTGAGGGGCTATGTTATTAAGACACTTGAAGACTTAGGACACATCAATTTAAGGGAAGTACGAAGACGAAGTTTCAGACTAGATGATGACTTTTATTTGTTGAAAGTTCCTCCTGCTCCTCATTTCAGACGAACGGATGCTGCACTTATGTTTAGTGGACCAAAAATTTGGAATGAACAACCCTACTCAGTGAGATCATTATCATCTGTAGAATGTTTTAAAAATGCCCTAAAGACGTTTTATTTCCACCTAGCTTTTGATAATATTTCTAATATTTGTCCATAATGTCTGAACTGATATGAAAGTGCATAATTTTGGTAACTTCAAACAAACATTTGTTCATAAAATCTGAACTGATAAAAAAGTCCATAATCTTGGTTTTTCAACACTAAGTCTCGCTTGAATGACTTAAATGTACATCTTTGTTGGGTATATTTTAATGTCGAAGCGTGTAATAAATGTTAGAATTTATTTATTTTATTATTGATATTGTTTGATTGTGCTGTAAAAATAAATATTTGTTTTATTAAATATTTGTTTTATTAATATTTGATATTTCAGACCTAAAAAATGTCAAATAAGTAGTCATTTGACTTCTCATGAAGGCCAAGAATAAGTTCTGGAGAAAACAGCCCTGCTCCAGCAATTCTATGGAGACCTAACACCTAGATATAGCATCACTACTTGCGCAAAGACACGCTAGGTATGCTGGCCATTGCATGCAAGCCTCTGAACAGGTCATCTCCACCATCCTAATTTGGCACATCCCCAGACCCATCGTGGAATAATACCACCAACATTTTTAAATGCTGTAGTTAGAGATGCCAGCGCGGCGCGGCATGCAGTTAGATTATCTCCTGCTACATGTAAACATTAATAGTTTGGATATGTTGTTTGCTGGTGTCGTTAACTGAAGCGTGTTTTTTAAAATTTAAAAATTCAAATAAACTTTACATCAATGTATTACAGTTATATTCAGAAAAGACCACAAAATCTCCTGTGAGGCAAAAACATGGAAAATGAGAGCTAGAAAAATATTCCTGAGACTCAACACTACCAGACTGAAGCTGGAGTGAGAAACATTATGTAAACATCATAGTAACATTTATTTCGGCTGAACCAAAACACGGTGGTAAAACCATAATTACATTGGTGCCGAATGATTGATTAATGATGTCAATCCTCTCAGCTCGTATTGCCCCAGTAGTGCTACAACCTTGCATACCGTCTCAATGAAAAATGCAGTATCTTCTATTGAAGAATTTTCGACGGAAAACAATTGAGAAATACGATATTTTGGGGAAATATGTTATGATCGGCCTATGCTGCTATGAAGTAGAACCTAAATAGTCGAACAAGCATCTTAAAACCAATTTCAACATTCAACAAGCATGCTATTTCATAATATGCTCTATACAATACAGTTGAACTATACAATACAGTTGAACAACACGTTTTTCAGCCTTTTCATGGGATTGAGACCGGGACCATTTTGCGCAGTGATCAGAGTGTACAAGTTTGAGAGAAGCTCGGTTTACACTGACTTACATTACTTGTTGGTCTACTTATCTGACTTCTACAAGCGGTACATTGACGACGCCACCAGCACAGCTGTAACAAGAGAAGAAGCTCTAGCACTTGTTCAGAGTATCGCAGACCAGGACCCTGACAAGAAACTCAAGTGGGAGGTAGAGTTTCCGGAGAACGACCAAGAGTTCATCCCATTCCTTAACACAGAGCTTAGAGTGGAACCTGATGGAACTGTGACGAGCCGCTTGTACAGTTTACATAGGGGGTCAGAACCCAATTTAGAATTTGAGATTTTAAAAACAGAAAGCAACACAGCTAGAAGAAAGATTGCAGAAGCAATGCTTATTTTGAAAGTCAAACCTAACATTAACAAGAGAGATGAGTTAGAAACAATCAAACGTTTTTTAGTAACAAGTACATAATAAACAGGGTGTAACATATTTTATACTTTACAGACAGGGGATTGTCTACACATATGTAGTGATTTTTAGTGATATTTATAGGTTTTGTTTACTTTCTGAGTACAGGGACCACATCTCACACACGCACACTTCCGCCTCCTATTCAACACACTACCCTTACAACATCAATCAAACCATATTAGGCTCCCACGTTTCACACTTCTCATTGGTCAGTACGATTCCCGCCATTTCCACTCCACACTAGATACATACCTACACACTTCACATCATGCACCTGTTCACCGTTGTAGCACTCCATGCTTCTGTATCATGTGTAGTATATTTAGTAGTAGTTTTAGGAATGTACAGTATTTACTATAAAAGTTTGTCGTCGTATAAATTAGTTTTGTTATGAATTTTGTTATGACTTTTTTGTATCGAATTTTTGGATAAAGTTGATTGATTAAAAATAAATTAATGTACACAAAATTTGCCTCAGATATATGTTTTTTACGTTTTGAATTTTTAACACTTGTTTTTAGATCATGAATACGATGTAGTTACATTGAAACGTCGAGTAATCTCCTTTCCCTAATAAGAGCATTTTTACTTGTCGCAACAACCGGGATAAAGATAATTTTACCCAGAATACATTACAACAATGCGACTCATAAATAATACTCCAATCCGGATTTTACATGAACTTATTCAGTCCCGAGAAACTTTTGGAACGGCGAAATCATTTCTTGCAGCTGGAGAAAAGTTGAAAATCGCAGAACAGAAACTAAATTTCTTAAAACGATGTAAACGACGACAAGTTTTTCCAGTTTTCATTTCGAACAGTTTTTCACATCAACAGTCATTATTTCCCATCTGTCAATCTAGGAATATACAACATCATCTGAACAGACTCAGAACAGTAGCATTAAATCAACATATTTCTTATCAGTATCAGATTATCGCAGACAGTAAACTTCATATTGCACAGTTCAAGAACACTCTATACAATACAGTTGAACAACACGTTTTTCAT